CCCCAAAACCCCAAAACCCCAAAACCCCTTTCTTAGCAAGCCAAGTTGAGTTTGATTAAGTCAATTTTTGCTACTTTCGGTAACAGATTGAGAAGAGTTTTAAGGGGAAGGGATAGCGAGGATTTGTGTTTAAGAGCCGGAGATGGGATTTTATGGAAAGAAAGGACCAAAGAAATGATTCTTATCTAAAAGGAAGAAAGGTTACAAATTTCAAATAATTTTCATAGATTCCTTGCCAAATTAATAACTTCTAAACATCTAATCAGAAAATCTCCATTCAGTAAAACTATCAAGATCTCTAGCATTAAAAATACTTCAAAAATATCCTCTTAAACCCCTATAATCAACACTTAAACCCTCTTCATCTAAATACCTTACCTAATCTTTCAAAAATAATATCTTTTCATAAAATTTGGACAAAAATATTGCAAATTTCAATCTTTTTGAAACCTTAAAGAAACCAATCTCAAGTGAATTTAGGCAACAAGCAAAGGAAGCCAAAGATCGCTAATATTTTCCTGACCTGCTTCAGGGCATATTACTTATTTGTTTTCTAAAATATAACCCTGATGTGTTATTACCTATAGAATGCAAACCTTTTGACTTCAGATAACTTATGCTCAAGCTCGATATTCCATGGGATTTTTCACTTAGGGAGATCCTTGAGGATTCTGTAGTTCTTGCGTCCTGAAGAGGTCTAGAATGAGCACTTACTTTCCATCTTTTGCTTCTTTAGAGTCTTTTCAACTGATTTTGGCTGTGGCTGGTCGGCTAGAGGATTATTTTATCCTAAATTACATGCGCCGTGGATTAACTTGGGTCGGGTTTTATTCGGAGAATACATGGATCCTATTCATAATAACCTTAGTTTACCAAAGAAACTACCAATGTTAGACTTATCAGTGGCTATAACCTAATCAGACTGGCTTTCTACCTGAATCTTCATACTTATTCTTCTTAATTTTCGTTCTTTCTGAAAGTGAGGAGACAACTACATGTCTTCTATGTGATTTCTTGGCTGAGAAGGGTCCCTAAAGAATTATGGTCTGTAGGTACAAGCCTGAAGTTTGATGAGCTCTGTGCCTTCCTCATCTGGTCAAGATATTTTGAGCCTTTATTTGATAAAATCTACCATTGCATAAGGGAATGGCTTTGAAGAGCTTATTTCTTTATATTTTTCAAAGAAATTTAACGGTTCGTTCACTAGAAGTTTAAATATTTCTTTTACTTTTGGAAGTGAAATTTTCTTCTTTATTTGGTAAGGTTTCTTTGCTGTGCAAATTTTTGAAATTGAGCAAAATTATCTCTTTCTGTTCAACTTTTACTCCCTTCGAGAAAGTTAATTATGAATTGAGTTCATTAAAGAAATTTGTAATTTTCCGATCTTCAAAAATTCTAAATACTCTTTTCTTACTCATTGGGAGTTGTGTTTGCTTTTTCTTACTATTCTCTTGCTTCTCTAGCCTCTCCAACATCTCACTAACAAAGCCTAAATCTCATCACGCAAAATTACTCTTCTCAGTTTCCTTCTTCTTCAGCGTAAAATAATTCTTTTTCCTAAACCTCAGTCATTTTCCAACTACAAAATCCCTTACTGAACTTTCTGATGCTGTCCCGGAATAGTACCACTCTTGGCCATGGCTGCCGAAGGCAGCTCCTTCTGGCCATGACGGATATTCTTCCTTGACCTCAGTCTAAAACTCTCAGTACAGGTTTACCTTTTGTCTAGTTTACTTGTACTTAGTCTCAAGTGTTCTCTTGTCCTCTATGGGCAGGACTTTGTCAGCGTCCTCTAGAGATTAAACAAAAGTGTACTTAGAATAAGGCTGAAGGGCTCTTTGAGCCCTTCCATCAGCTTATTTGAAGGGATCTATTGTTGAAGTAGCCGAAGAGCAGCTGGAAGAGTCTGAGATTGGAGGACTTGAATAGGGAATTTGGGGAGATCGAGGGCTAGCAGGGGATTTTGAGAAGAGAGGTTTGGAGCGGGGGCTAGGTGAAAGGAGGTTCTTTTTGGATGTTTTGTGGTTTTTTGAACGCTGTAAGAGGGATTTGAAGGTGCTATTTTGGAGGGCTGAGGGGACTGTGGGTTAGAGAAAAAGTACTGAGAGATGCATGATATGTTTAGAAGGAGCCTTTTGGTATATTCGGTAAGGTTTTGAAGATTTTGATTGAGCTTCTTTTTGGACTATTTGAAGTTGTTAGGTGACAAAATTTAAGAATTTAGGAGTAGAGATAGGAGGAAATAGGATGTATTAAGTTATATAAAGATACCTCTTCGTCTCCTAAATCTCTGAGATTCATATTGTAAAATTTTATTTTTCAATTAACATTGATAATTATGGGGTTTTGGGGTTTTGGGGTTTTGGGGTTTTGGGG